TTTTGCGAAAACCATTTGGACGTCTTATCTAGGTTAAGCCTTTGGGTTTTCTGCCCGAGTCTCCTAGACCAGTTTCCCGTACTCATGGCTCTTATCCACTACATTAGTGGACGGAGAGCTAGGAGTATAATCTATTTGGCTTCCCCATTTTTTTTTTCAAGGCAAATAAACATATATACAATGCAATCAATTATCACCTCTGATACTATCCCGCAACTCAATATCATCATCACTAGGTTAATCAACAAAATCAATCAAGGCTCAAAAGGGGTGACTAGTGACTGTTATTCACGAAAAGAAAAAGGAAAAGATAATACAAGGAATGCCTCAATCATATTCACATTTCACAAATCTAATCGAGTTATTTCAAAACAGTCTCAAGGCAAATTCTATTTGGCAAGATTCCGACCAATATCACACAAGAAACAAAATAGGCTCAAACCTCACAAGGTAAATATGTTCCTCAAAACAACCAAGCCAATTAATCAAAGTACGTTACTCGATCACATCATCACAACTTCTCAATTCAACCAACAGTTATCAACCAGTCTTACAATACACCATAATCCAAACTCAGAAAAACACAGAAACCTAAAGCTAGACTGGTCCACCACGCAAAAGAAAGAAATAAAACAACTTAAAAATAAAAACTAGACTTGGTCAACCATAAAGCCACATCAAACATGCAAAAACTCCACCACATTTAAAAGCAGACAATGTTCCCATTGTCGACTCGCAGCTAAGGGAAGTTGTACTACACAATCAACCGACTCAACAAAGAAGAGAAAATATAAAAATAAAATAAAAATAAAAAGAGAAAAGAAAAGAAAAGCTGACCAACACAGTGACAAGTCACTGTGGTCCTGTACTAGGAGGAGGAGGAGGAGGTTAGGGTTGGCCGGCGCCAGAACCAAACTGAGCATCCCACCGGGCCTCAAGAGCCTGAAAGCGCGCGTCGAAACCACACATTCTCTGTCGTAACGCTCCTCGAACTCTTCCCACCACGGAGGAGGCTAGGACCACCAGGTGGGCGGTGCAGATGACGCAGTCAGACGCTGCTGATGATGATGTGTGGCTCGGGACGCTCGGCGATCGGGCTCTGGAACAGGCTCAGGAGCGGCCTGCCAACTGGAAGGAGGCAAAAGGAGACAGCTATCGTCGAGAACAGTCTGATCATGCTCCATCTCTTCCGTCTCATGGGCATCATCAGTCTCCTGCTGAGGGTGAGAAGATCCAGCCTGGCCAGCGGAAGCGGCAACATCCAACTTCCTCATGTATAAGGAGTAGGCTCCACGCTTGTCATAGGCAATGAATGTACGCCGGTCAAAGATCAGGTCCCGCAGCTCAAACGTGTCAATGCGGCGCATCGGAACAGAGGGACTGCCCGAAACCGCCAGATTGACGCCGAAATGTAAAGCCAATGCTGTCACCACATGGCCAAAACAGGCAGCCGCACGCTTATTCCGGAGCACTGCTCGGAGCTCTTCCTTGAAAATATGTAGCAAGCTCCGCTGGTCACGCCCGAGCATAGCCTAGAGCACGGTGAGGTCGAACTGAGAGACCTTGTTGGCTTCCTTTTTCCCGAGAAGGCCGTAGCACAAAAATTTGTGCATCACGGCAATAGCGCCATCCTGGATGAGGGAGTTAGGCATGCCCTGGGAGTCCCATACCGTGTCGGGAGACAGCTCGACCCAAAAACTAGTAGTACTCATCCCGGCTGATGCCGACCAACCGCCTCCGTGGATCCCCACGACGCTAGCCATGATATCGTCACCAATCACTCTCTCTGTCCCAAGCATCCTACATGTCATATACTTGGCCTGATTATTATCCTTCCGGAACTCAAG